CACAAATAGCTGTGCCGGCACTGCTCTGGTCCAGTTTGAAGGTTATGGAGAGTCAGGAAAATTACAGGCTGTGAGGAATTCCATTTTAGTCTTCAGAGGTGACAACGCATCGGTAGCCTTCTTTGTTTAAAGTTGCCTGCGTGTGTACACGGTCTGCAGAAGCCACCTACCATCAGATGGTCTGGACTTTTCTCACGTCATTTTTATGAGAAAGGTACTCCGATCTTTCATTCAACCACATTGTCGTTAAGTAAAATATAAAATAAGGCTAGGACCTCAATCAAATCAAGATAAATTTTTTGAATTTATATGTTTCTTAATATTAAAATATAAATTCTTTTAATATTTACCGAGAGGTGTAACTGTTCTCTTTTGATAAAAATCCCTAAAATTTTTACTATGGTACGCGGGTAAATTAGTTGTTTTTTAAAAGACAAGACCGTGATAGAAACAGTTATTGTCACCGGTTATGATTTTGGCGAGATGGTGTTTTATCACACGAATTCACTTAAAAAGAAACACCTACAACTTCACAATGACAATAAACAACGCGACTTGCAGGAGTGGATCATAAGTTTTGGAGGGGGTTAGAGATTGAAGACTTTTGTCGTATTGCAGGTAGATTGACGATCGCAATACAATGCTTTGTGGCATTCCTTGGGGGAGGTCTATGTTCAGCAGTGGACTTGTGAAGGGCTGTAATGATGATGATGATACAAGACCTCTCGCACCTTTGAAGTTGCTGCCCATAGCCGGTCTAGGTATTATATGTGTGGTTCTTACGTAACCGATATGGTTATACCGCCTTAAATTGAAAGCTATAGCTTTCGATTTAAGGCGGTATAGGTACTATAGTACGTGAGGGTACTTGGGCCTTGTTTGCATAGATGGCTCTGTGATACGATAGCTCTTCATCAGTCAATCAAATAATAAAGGGTCTTCTTCTTCTTTTAAATTATGGCTTCTCTTGATAGAATTCTGCCAGTGTCAAGTCAGTTAATCAAGGGTCAAAGGAGCGCTGCTTTATCGACGCCATTTTGACAGTTGACATTATAATAAATATTTTAGTTTATTATAGTATTGTGTAGTGTAGTTAGTTTATTTTAAGTACATTTTTCGAAATGTTCCTAATTATTTCCAAAGCTTGTTTGCTATTTATTCTCGTTATATATTAGTCGGCAAAGCTTAAGATGACTATATTACCCTCACTTACCTTATTACATATTTCACGCGTTTCCCTTAGTTATCTTACTACACGCCCGGGACGTAACGGGGTGATGGATTCATTTACGCCGCCACAGCCGTAAACGAATTAGCGCTAATTATCGTTGAAGTTTGCAATGCAAGAAACCCTATGCTTTTATATATAAGAGTTAATCGAGAGTAAATTGTTAATTTCTAAGCCACTAAGTATTTCTTTACTTAATTTCCCCGGCGACCCTCAAGCTGAAATCCTCTCCAACGATATCCTAAATTTTATTATGTCAAGATTTAGTGAGAAAATGGTGACAGTTTGTGACAAATAATTAGTGACTTTATTACTTTAGGAGATATAGCCCTATACTTCGGAGGATTCTAGCTGATTTCAAGTCACAAGTCAATAGTCACTAAATCTTGTCACATATTTCACAGCGAAAGACATAGGCGTTATGTAGGTATTCTATGATATATAATCTACAAGCCAGAATCCTCCATAAGAAATGTGAATAACTTCGGTCCCTTCCGTGCATTATGTTTCAATCTCGGTATATGAAAGTAAGTTAGTAAACTGTAAGTTTCACAGTACGCGAGCAACCCGGGTACGATCCCCGCAGGCGCCAATGAAATTATTAATTGCAACTTTAAGTGCTGATTTACCAAGTGCTCAGCTGTGAAGGAAAACATCGGGAGGACACTTGCATGTCTAATTTATTTATTTATTTAGGTAATCATACAGCGTTTTTATTGTATTTGCAATACATATTATCATACAGCAAGGCCAATAGAGATTACACAATTTTTATCAATTAAGCGTGCGTGTATGCTCGAGTAAGTGTGCATGCATCCGTGTATGTGTGTGCGCGCACAATGTGCGTGTGTGTGTGTGTGTGTGTGTGTGTGTGTGTGTGTGTGTGTGATTATGCCCTATTTTTGTTTACAACATCATGTTTGATGCGACTCTTGGATAGGTTGAAAATATCCAAGTCATAATGATAAAAATAATAATTTGAAGGCATGTAAAGTTCGCCAACACGCATTGGGACAGCGCAGCGGACAATTCCTTGCCCTAAAAACGCTCTCAGAAATGAGAGGAGGCCTGTGTCCAGTAGTGGGACGTATATAGGCTGCAACTTTTTTTAACTTTTATATGAAAGTCACCAATTATTCACTAAATATTAAAATAGGAATCACAACTTATATGCAGACACTAATGGTGTTTTTTAGGAGAAGCTGCTAGCTTGAATTCAAGCTAGAATATCAAATAAAGGTCTCCAATTCTTCACTAAATCTTGGTATAATAAGATTTAGAATATTGCTGAGAAGGATTCCAGCTTGAAGGACGCCATCCTGTGTTTAAGTCATCCGTGCACTTGATCGGTTTTGTGAGGTGAATGAGTCATCTAACAACGCACAGCCCAAACGCTTGACGTACAAATATGAAATTTGGATAGGCAAGGCAGTCAGCCTTTTATGACGTAAGCATTCACTAAGTAAGGATTTTTGAAAATTTAACCCCTAAGAGGGGACTTGACTGGACTGAAACTTTTTATTTTCCGCGGCGATTAATTCGAAACTTAGCTAAAGTATTTATTAGAAAGAGAGAGAGATTTAATAACGTACAGTATACCGTACCGATTGCTATAGAAACAGAAACAAAAACAGAATGTGTATGGATGATACGGGTCGTAATTCTTTTTTTTTTAATAGAATATTCGTGACAAACAAGCACACAGTTCACCTGATGGTAAGTGGATGCTGTGGCCCATAGACATCTACATTTATCCTCGATTACGAATCAAAATGCAGATACGTTGTCACCCGTGAGGACTAAGATGGAATGCCTCGTTTCCAGTAAAAAGTGTCTCCGGTTCCCTACACTCACCATACGTAACACAGTAGCGTTAAGCTGCTATTTTACGCCTGTATTCTGTGAGAGCGTGGTCCTTCCCCGGTTGAGCCAACCCATTCGTGCTACAACTATACAATTAATATAGCTGCAGCATGGCACTACCACGTATAAAAAAAGTAAAGCCTGTACGTATGTGCGTGCGTGTGTGTGTGTGTGTGTGTGTGTGTGTGTGTGTGTGTGTGTGTGTGTGTGTGTGTGTGTGTGTGTTTGTGTAAATGTATGTAACCCTTTCATAACTTTTCAATAGCTTTACTGATTGGAACGAACTTAGCAGCGTTCGAAAGGGCTTCATCAAACTTCTCAAACAAAAATCTCGAAAGGTATTTTTCAAATTACTTTGGAAAGTCTTCTCGGATCGTATTTGATGTAATATATTAACTATAAGCGTAGTACTACTATTTATTCTGTGCTTAAAAAACTGCGTCGAACGAATCAAAATCGGTTGATTTGTTCATGAAATTTTAAATAAAGAAAAAACGTAGTTTTTCAAAATTATGACGTTTTTAAGCTTTTTTTTAAATTTAACCTGGACATTTTAAGACAAGGGCGAACTTTGTACGATAAATAATTTATTGAGTCACCCCGCCCAGAATCATTGAACGTAGAAGCGGAAAATAGGGACAATAGTAAAAGAAAGTATTTAGGAAAATTCAACCCTTAAGATAGTAAAAGCGGGTGTTACAATTTGTATGTAACTTTTTATTTTACGGGGCGATTTGGCGGAGCTAGAAACGTACTGAAACTACTCTGTTAATAATATAAATGAATACTTATTTTTAGATTTTTCAAAACAACTCCTTACAGGGCCAGAGTTTATTCTAATTCACTAAGAATACTTATCCAGATAATGTATGTACTTTACCTTGGGCATTTAATGTAAATTAAAGTTATCCCTTATATTATATTATTTAAATGAATAGTTTAGAAGATATCACAGAATTGAAATCACATGCAACCAAAAAAAAAATTACTCACATTAAAGAGGTTCGTCGGGTTATCAATTATTAATCGTCTTTTTAAAAAATCTTAAAGTTTTTTCGCATAAAATATAGCCTAGATCCTTTCTGAAATTACTATCTCATCATCATCATCATTACATCCCATCCCAAGTCCACTGCTGAACATAGGCCTACCCCAAAGAATGTCACAAAGCACGGTACCGAGCCACCTGCATTCATTGACCTCCCACATGTCTTACCAGGTCGTCCTCCATCTAGTGGGAGGACGCCCTACACTTCGCCTGCCATTACTACGCTATGGAAAGGGCAATGCTCGGCGTGTCTCTGCGTGATAGACTTAAAAACGAGGATATCCGCAGTAGAACCAGAGTAACCGACATAACCTAAAGAATTAGTATGCTGAAGTGGCAATAAGCCGGCCATATAGCTCGAAGAACCGACAACCAATGGGGAAGAAAGGTTCTAGAGTGGCAACCTCGTATCGGCAGGCGAAGTATAGGGCGTTCCCCCACTAGATGGAGTGACGACATGATAAGACATGCAAGAAGTCGATGGATGCAGGTGGCTTAGGACCGTGCATTGTGGCATTCCTTCCATTCCATTTCCTTTCCATGGCCATTCCATTCCAAGGTGAGGCTTATGTTCAGCAGTGGACTTGTCAAGGGCTGTAATGATGATGAGCATGCAAATAATCTATGGGATTAGTTGAAGACGGTTATTTTAATATTACAGATAGATTTTAATGTTATTTATATGTATATAGATAATCTAAATATATCCTCGACTGCGAATCTAAATGCGGATACGTTGTCTAAGATGGAATGCCTCCTTTCCAGAAAACGGGGTTCTCTGTTCTCTAAACTCGCCATACGAAATACAGCAGTGTTAAGCTAGTATTCTGTGCTAGGATAGAATAAGGCAAAATTTCTTACGTTTACTATTAGCGCAACACCATAGTCTAGAAGGGATTGAAATACTTCTCGAGCGCCTTCTGTAGAGCTGAGAAAATCGTCGACGGAAATTTTGGCCACCTTTTCAGCGATTTCTTCTCCATGCCACAATTTTGGGACGAGTCTTCTTTTCTCCACCCACGTCTTGTAATCAAATTTTACTAAGAAATCAGCTTCGTAAATAGATTCGTGGTTGTCATCCCCTAAAATGTAGTGTTATATTATATTCGATATTTATCAAAAATATTTTTAAAAGTTTGTACCATCTAGAGTAGAGTCAGTGAAAACGGTTGCCTATTTATTTTGTATTTTTGAAAATATGAATGATGCTAGTTTTTAATGCATTCAAAATAAAACTGTGTGAAGCCTATTTATCAGTTTTAGATAAAATGGATGTAAGTTCCGTTAACTTCATGAATTAAAGCCGTACTGAGTACGTATAGAAAATGGTACTTTGAAATCCAAAATGATCATATATTTGGTAAGTGGTTTAGGTAAGTATCGCGTTTTTATGTATGCCAATACCGATGTGATATTATATTTATGACTTTCTTGAAAAAGGGCGATATTAAATGCCTGTATTGATTAATACGTAGTTCCGACCTTGCCCAGCCATGCATCCGTTACTGGTATATAGCATGCTGATTCGAATAACAACCGTAACGATAGCATGACAAATTATAAATAATACATATGTAGTTCATAGATTATATTTCAGTACCTGGTTGACCATGATTTGCTCTACGTTAGAGAAAAAAATATAATTTTCTGAGAGATGCCACATATCTAGATAAATTCTAAAAGAAATATACATATACATATAATCACGCCTCTTTCCCGTAGGTGTAGGCAGGGACCACTTCTTTCCACTTGCTACGATCCTTACATACTTGTTTCGCTTCGTCCACTTTCATTATTCCCTTCATATCGAAAAGAAAACATTATCTTAATACAAAATATCAGAAAAATAGATTTTCGAAAAATCCATTACATAAGTTTTGAAATTGCTCACAAGTATAGGATAAAATACAGATAGGAATTCGTTGCTCACTGGCCGGCTTACATTATCTTAGTGCTTTAGGAGAGTTCCAACTTTAATAGCACTATAATGCGAGTGCTCGTAACATAAACAACATGAACATAAAATATTTACATCAAAATAATAAGTGGTTCTATTTGATTTTAGTAGAAAAGCGAAGCGAAATTCATACGTAGTCAATCATACTATAGCTACACGCAATATTATCTATTATTAATCTAAATGATTAATACTATAAATTATATAGTATTAATCATTAAAAGCAACTGTTTACACTTTTTTACTAATACACTATACTAAATCACTCTCCTAAAAACTATGATAATGTAATGAGCGGCCATCAAAAATGACACGGGAAATTTGCTTAGACCCGCATGCAAATGTTGGTGTCCAGGTTTTCAAAAGTTACTTACACGTTATAGAAATATGTTCCGTATCGGATTTGATGTTTTTAATGTTCGAGTCGGACAAATCCAATAAGTGTCGAGCTCTTTGAAAAGTATTTGAATGGTAGCACGTCGAACATCTGAAATTATTGTCATTGGATTGGATTGGAGTATATTATATTAATATAAATATTTTATGTTCATTACTTAAAGAACGGCATATGCAACATAGTGTTTGATTAATTTTTATCATAGAAAACCCTTACCAAAATAACTTTTGGTATTTGGCATTGTCGTTGATATAAAAAAGTAAATCCGAAAAAAAAAAAAATAAATGGAATTTAGAACAAGTATCGAACTGTCAACAAAATAAAAAAATAAAAATGAAATGCTATTACATAGCTTTTATGCAGACGAAATATATTTTACAACAAACGTGACCAAACGTACCTATTTCCGATTAAAATTCCAAAGTAAAAACAAAGCTACGGTAAATGAGAAATTTTATATTATTATTAATAATATTACCTGCAATGATCTCTAAGCCAAATACACTCAAAATCTGTTACTTGTCCTCCTTTAAAATGTATCCTTACTGTTTGATTTTGTACTGTCACACTTACAATTCCTAGAAATGTATAAAAAATTTAGGTAAGTTTAATTCCATCTGCTATGCATATAACACTTTTTCTAGAGGTTTTGAAAAAATAGTAACAATTTTAAAAATAATATTTGTATAACAGCTTACTACTCATTTTTAAATATAATTCGATATAACTGCTGTCACTTCGATAACAAGTCTCAATATATTTCTCGCTGTAGCTATTTCAGAATTATAAAGTTATATGTTTAATGTGTAGGGTCACGGTGAGGTCATATATCGCACACGCGCACACACACACATACACACACAGACTAATGTCGGTAAAAATACCTATTAAAATAATTTCAAAATTTTTCTTTCTTTAAGCTCACCCTTATCAAAAATCATATCTGATTAAAAGTAGGGTACGCTGTTGATCCCAGTATTATTTATCGCGGAATGGCAATTCTGTAGAGACTTACCAAAAACCTATTTTCGATAGCAACAAAAATGATGACGCGGGAGTTCGTTATTTCTTAAATCCCTATCTTGTTAGAGGCCACCATGTTTGGAATGTTCAATCTAATAAGCTATTTTAGTCCATGAATTGTATCTTGAATCTATGTCTTAAATTATGTGGAGTGTGTTTAGATTTTTGTAAATTCATAATCTATTAACATTATATGTTTGTACTTCGCTGTGTGCGTACTTTATTATTTTTAGTTTTCAGTTCTAAAAAGGAAAAACAGCAGGATATATTAATGGGCAAATTATAAATGTAAATCTAAAGTAATGTAAAATTACAGGCTCGTGGGCACAGGTCAAACGTATATTATTCAAAATTAAGTTTTCATTATGGGTCTTAATTTACGGGGTTGGGGGTTAAATTGAATCAGGAAAAATCAACATTGTAGGTAGTGTAGAATGTCAATGAAATTAGTAGGTAGGTAGGTGACACTGAAAGTTTTTAGAACTGGCCACTTGTAAACGATATAATAAAAAAATAAGTTCACATTTTGAAAATGGAACTCTTTGCCAATATTTTTGTGTACGTATTTTATTAATTTGTCGTTTGTTTACGATTTGGCGGCAAATTGAAAATTGTCTGTGTCACGTCAGCATAAATTTAACGCAAGAAAATTTTTGTAAAATGATTTTTGACTTTCGATGTAATTTAAGTCAACGAGAAAGTTATGATAGACTTCGAACGGCCTTTCACGATGAAGCTCCGTCTCGTGCCACTGTTTACAACTGGTTTAATGAGTTCAAACGTGGTCGCACTAATCTCACCGATGATCGGCGTGAGGGACGGCCTTCTACGGCGAGGACTGAAGATAACATCAGTGTTATGCAGCGTATGGTATAGAGTGACAAAAGAGTGACTTATCAGTAGATTCGGACAAGCTTAGGTATGAGTCAAGTGCACAAAATCCTCTATGAACACTTAGCGGTCAGTAAGCTTTGTGCCCGGTGGATACCTTATAATTTGACAGAGGCCCAAAAACTCTGTCGTGTTGATTAGTGTCGCGAAATGGTTCAAAGATTTAACGGAGGTGACTCAAATGCTGTGTTCGACATACTTACGGGTGATGGAAGCTGGATTTATTGTTATGATCCTGAAACTAAGAGACAGTCTGTGTCTAGGTGTTTCCTTCCGAGGAGTTGCCAACTAAAGTGAAGAGAGGTCGAACCGTAGGAAAAAAAATGGTGGCCTCGTTCTTCGGAAGGATAGGTCACTACGCAACAATTGTCTTAGAGGATCAAAAAACAGTTACTGCAGGGTGGTACACTAACAATTGTTTGCCACTTTTCTTGGAAAAAGTTCCAGAGAAACGACCTCGAAGTAGGATCCTCCTTCACCACGACAACGCCTTGTCGCACACCGCCAAGCAAACAATCGACTACTTGGCAACGTCAGACGTGAAATCACCCGGCCTATAGCCCTGACCTCGCACCTTCCGATTTTTATTTATTTCCGAAAATAGAAGAAAAAATTCGAGGAAAACGTTTTATGGACGCCGAGGAAGCAGTGGCTGCGTTTCAAAATACTGTCGAAGAGACCTCTAAGGACGATTGGGCAAAGGGCTTTTCTCAGTGGTTCCATCGGATGCAGCGATGTATTGATGTAAATGGACACTATTTTGAAAAGATATAATAAAATTTTCTAGTTTGTTCAGTTGTTGATTTTCTAAGAACTTTCAGTGTCACCCTTGTATATTTTAAACCATTTTTAGGAAAAGTGCAGATTTACAGCAGAAAAAACCAATCACCGATCTTGGCTCGATCAGGGGTACGAACCCGGGACCAAAGTGTCATTAAACCAACGAGACAGTCAAAGGTAAATCAATCAATTAAAAACTGAAATAAATTTGGAGTTCCCACAAGATAAAAGATGAAAAAGATTGGGGTTTATAATTTTTTAAATAATAATCAAACGCAGAAAGCTTTTTACTTTAACTAAGCATTCCGGACGTTCTTATAAATAAAAAGCTTTCATGTCATGCTTTCGTTTCAAAAGAATGAGAAAATAAGATCACATGACCTTCAGCTATCACCGGATGTAGCAAAGCTCTGCGACAAGTACAATAAGATAAGAATCTGTACTAAAGATTTCACAGCCGAACTGTTCTTTTGGGATATCTTTAAATTTATTTCACGTCTAAAAACTACTGGAGCACGTAACTTGTAGGACAAGGGCCAAATTACACGTGCCGCCAGCTCAACGATTATTGGGACTGAGTTTTCTTTTGAAATGGAACAATTCTTTAACTTTAGAGAATACCTTTTATCGTAAGTTAAATTGGAACAACGTGTTTCTGAAGTTTTTGATGTTATTCAATTGAGAAATACCATTTAGTTGTTCCATTGAACAGCAAAATTTGTATTTAACATCAAATTAAATAATATTTTATGAAATTAATTTTTAATTCACCTTTTCGGAAACAGATATCGACCTGGACATTTTTTTCTAAAATAATAGACTACAGTTTGTTGACTAAACAAGTTACTGATTAGTAAGTAGGTACATCATCCCCAGGAGTTAATTAATCATTCAAACATCCTTGTTTAACGAAATATTCAAAGAGATATTATATCTGAAAATTTCTTATAAAGGAATTTTTTACAAATTATGCACTGTTGATGTTCTTTATATTTTGAATTTAAATTTTTTTAAATTTTAATATTTCGTAAGTGAATGTCTTGAGAACACATAATAACAAATTGGCTGTTTCTGTGTATTTTAAATGGCAATATGTCTTGCGATCATATTTGATTTCTTTTTCTTTGTTAACAGCAACGGAGCAGAAGTAGAATAGAATAGAATAGAATAATTTTTTATTCTATATACATTACATGTGTAATTCTTATTGAAAGTCATTTTTTACTTTACCATTTTAGAATTTACTGTAACATCAAAATCAAAGCTGAAATACTTCTGATGTCCTGTTCTTCAGATTGCGACGGCAGTCGTCGTACCGTAAAAACAGCGTTCTTTTTAAAACGTTTTTTCTTCGCCTTGTTAACTAAGGGAATAAGCGCCGACCTTTAAAAACATATAGTACCTATTTAAGCAAACCGATATACCGAGTTTGATCCCCGCTAACACCTATGTAATTATTAGTAATTTTAATAATTGCATGTGGTAACGTGATCGGCGGTGAATGATAGTGAAAACTAGAATGACAGAAAATATTTATCTTTTTTTAAGAAATATGAAGTTCGCCAATACAAATAGAGACAATGCGGCGGACTTGCCCTAAAACCCTCTCAGTAATGACAGGAGGAGGAGGCCTACGTGCAACTGTGGTATGTGGTATGTAGTATTAATTTCTTGACCCATGCCATCTACTGATAATTTAGTGAACTTCTACCGCCTTGGTTACGTAGTAGGTAACTATTATCTAATCAGTGGCCTTGGCAAACCGGAGTTATCGTGAAATTTATCTTGGTAAATATACGGTCCAACAGGTGGCGCTGTTCATATTGAATGGGATTATTCGCGGACTAAGAAATAAGCTCACGTAATTTAACATAACCTTAAATTATTTTATTATCGACGTGACGTAATACGCTCGTCTAATCTTTATAAGTTAATGGTATTCCTCTTAGCAGTACCAGTACGATAATAATATGTAATATTGTAATATTAGATCTTTACCTATGAAATTGCCGTTTTTATGAAATAAGTGAACGTAATTTTTTTTCTATATTTTTATTTCTACTAATCAAAGTAATCAAAGGTGTATTCCATGCAATTGATGCATATTTGCTAACGCAGTGGCAATTTATTGATGCCCTTATGGTAGAAATCAGCTGGAAGGTAGGCAACAAATTATCCAAAGGTATTTTGTACTGCCTCTTGGGTATTGAATTTTTTTCCCGCCAAAAAGTTATCCATTACCAACCAACCCCAGCTCTTGTTACTTAGAGACCTTCTGGTGTGCAGTATGAGGTCGCGCGTTGTCGTGCAGGAGCAGCTTCTCCATCATTATGTTCAATTCTTCACAGTACTCATCTGCATTAATGGTAATCCCGTTTGGTAAGAACCTGCGATGAGTCACACCGGTATTAGACCACCAAACAGTGACCATCACTTTTCTAGGAGTAAGTTTTCGTTTAGGGCATTGTTCAAGTGCCGATCCAACCAACCTGCTCAGCACTTTCGGTTTTTTTTGTAGGATAAGGGTGACAAATGAGCACAGAGTCCACCTGATGGTAAGTAGTTGCTGCGGCTCATAGACATCTACATCTATCCTCTATTACAAATCAAAATGCAGATGCGTTTTCACTCGTGAGGACTAGGATGGAATGCCTCATTTCCAGTAAAAAGTGCCTTGAGCAGTTCAAGGCAGGTGGGGCACCCATTTGTCAAGTTTTTTTACCTTGCCACTTTGACGCAAATATACTAATATTGTTTTGATGCTAACGTCGAAAGCTGCTGTTAATCCATCAGTAGATTGAGTATCATAACCTTCCACAATCGCCTATAATTCGTCATTGTCGACCAAAGTTTTCGGACGACCACGGGGCTCATTTTTTAGGTCGAAATTTCCAGAACGGAAGCGAGCGAACCAATAACAGGTGGTGCGATCGTTTGTATTATATGTTGCTGCCTCGACGGTACTCATATTCCATAATTGCTCGAATTTTCAACGTATCCGTGATGACAAAAAAAATTCAAATGCGATGAAAATATAACGCTAATCAAGAAACAAATGACTAATTTTGAAAAAAGA